GCTTGACAACTGGTTCGTATTTATGACAGTTCCAATGTCCCAGGGTCACATCATCCCCTTTGGCGACCTTCCGACAAGCCAGGTTGAAGGGGAAGCCAGATTCACTTAACGACAGTGTGACCAATTTGACAAGCGCAGGGATTCGCTTAACAAATGTGGCAAGAAAAGTGGGGGCAAAACTCATTTAGAAAATGTCTCACTTAGCAACATAGATTTTGGGCTCAGGTGTGATTGTGAGTCAAGGAGAACCTGTACCAGGTGTGCTACATCACTAAAGGTAACATGTAAGGTGAGATACACAATAAAACGTGGAAGAGAAAACAACCCTTCTTTCTGCTTCATCTTAGCAGATGGACCTGGATTCCTCCAATGGTTTCTACGGAACTGTAGAATAGAATAGAATAGAATAGAATAGAATGGGATGGGATGGGATGGGATGGCATAGGATAGAATAAGAGAGTTGGAAGGGAGCTTGGAGGTCTTCTAGTCCAACCCTCTGCTTAGGCAAGAAACCCTACAACCACTTCAGACAAAGGGTTATCCAACATCTTCTTAAAGACGTCCAGTATTGGAGCATTTACAACTTCTGGAGGAAAGTTGGTCCACTGATTAATTGTTTCTAACTATCAGGAAATTTCTGATTAGTTCTAAGTTGCTTCTCTCCTTGTTTAGTTTCCACCCATTGCTTCTTGTCCTGCCCTCAGGTGCTTTGGAGAATAAGTTGACTCCCTCTTCTTTGTGGCAGCCCCTGAGATATTGGAACTCTGCTATCATGTCTCCCCTGGTCCTTCTTTTCATTAAACTAGACATACCCAGTTCCTGCAACCGTTCTTCCTATGTTTTAGCCTCCAGTCCCCTAATCATCTTTGCTGCTCTTCTCTGCACTCTTTCTAGAGTCTCCACATCTTTTTTACATAGTGGTGAGTCCCTCTCACAGTTACTACTATTGAGCAAGGCNTCCATCCTTCTGAGGTGGGTAGAATGAGGACCCAAAATTGTTGGGGGCAATAGGCTGACTCTGTAAACTGCTTAGAGGGGGCTAGAAAGCATTGTAAAACCGTATATAATATATAAGTGCTACTGCTATCAAACTGCTAGGTGGGTGGGAGCTGGGGCAAGGAGGGGAACTCGTACCGTTGCAAGTTTTCGGTCTTGAACCTGGACTGTCAGTTTTCCAGCCGACAAGCTCAGCTTCTTAAGCTCTGGGCCATGACTCCGGAGCATATATTAAATTTTCTCCGACTCTTTCTATTAATATTTAATACTCGTTGGTAAAACAAGTTTTGTTTGGAATACCTTGGAAAGGCTCTCAAAGTTATCTGGAGGCGTTTTGGGAGACATGCGCCGGCCTGGCGTCTCAATTTGTCCACATGGGGTAAAAGAATTCACAGACATCACTAAAACAGGTTAAGAGAGTGATTTACTAACCCCACACGTATCTTCAGCATGCCGTTAAATAACTCGGGGGAGTTGGAGATGATCCAGCCGATATGAATGACAAGTTCCTGTTGAAGAACAGCTTCCCTCTCATCCTGCAGATTGCACTTGTTGTAGATGATGTCTTTAATTGCGCCCGGAGACAAGGGATTAGATATAATTTCTTCCTCTTGGCCAAATGCCCCAAGTGTCACCTAAAGGAATATATTAGCAGTAATTAGAGGTATAACATGAACCGGGGAAGCAGTGAGGGAGTCCTTATTCATTATATCTCCTTGACTTAAATCTCCTGGCTTCCAACAGCGTTGGATAAAAGGGGCATTAATAGAATGGGATGTTAAAATCATCACTGATGGGGAAAATTGAGATTTCCACATCTCTATTATCTATATCTATATAAATGGCTGTGTGTATGCATGTATGTATGTTCCAGCATAACTCTGTAATGCTTCGAGCAATTTCAACCAAACTTGGTACACAGATGACTTACTCTCTGGAAACAAATACTCTGGGAGTAAAACACCTCTAACACTCCTTGGGGTGTGCGTTCTGTTAAGATACAGCCTATTGTGCCTTAAATTGACTTCTACTGTACTGCCGTAAAATGGATTCTACCGTACAGCACTGTGGAGTTGCCGTGGTAACGGATTCACAGTACTCCACAAGGAGGCTCCCTCTAGTAAGGGGGGAAAATCCAACATTAGAAATTGTGGTGACGTTTGTGGAAGGAGGGTTGGGATAAAGAGCCGAGGTGGCGCAGTGGGTAGAGTGCAGTACTGCAGCTACTTCAGCTGACTGTTATCTGCAGTTCAGCAGTTCTAATCTCACCNGTGTTTTAAAATTCTCCTCCACACCCATGCCGAGTTTTGCTGATGCAAAATTACAGGATCCCATCTTTGGAGTGAGGCGAGGTGGAAAGGGGCAGCTTGAAGGATTTGGGCAGATGCAAATATTCTGGTTGGCAGAGAGCTCGGCTGCTAAAGGCTTCTTTTTCTGAGGTAATGAAAAATGACACTTAAGGAAATCTTGAGGACATCACGTGTCCGAAACTGACTGGCAGGGTGAAAGTAGGATACTAGTTGGCAGTTATGGAGTTACAGAGCTGGATGTATGCGTCATGGAAGGCAGCATACAAATGAGATTTTCCTCGTCTCCTCCTTCCAAAACAACCCATAGATATTTTCAATCCAAAAATACCATTTGCAGTTAGCCCTGGAACAAAGAGAAAAATCTAACTTACGGATAACAACACTTAATGGAAAGAAACACAGTCTAAATTGGGAGGGACTTAAGAAAGGCTGACTGGCTGATTTGTTCAGCATGAACAATGTAGAAAACATATAAAGAATTGGGTACGTCTAGTTTAATGAAAAGAAGGACTAGGGGAGACGTGATAGCAGTGTTGCAATATCTCAGGGGTTGCCACAAAGAAGAGGGAGTCAAGCTATTCTCCAAGGGCAGAACAAGAAGCAATGGGTGGAAACTAATCAAAGAGAGAAGCAACTTAGAACTAAGGAGGAATTTCCTGGCAGTGAGCACAATTAATCAGCGGAACGACTTGCCTCCAGAAGTTGTGAATGCTCCAACACTGGAAGTTTTAAATAAGAGATTGGACACCCATTTGTCTGAATGGTTTCCACCCCAAGATGGGGGGTTTGATTAGAAGACCTCCAAGGTCCCTTCAAAACTCTGTTATTCTGTTATATTTAGTCTGTATTTTATTTACTTATTCATGAGATTTCTTTGCCACCCATCCCAATGACTGCACCCATTTTATCATTTAAAATATTTAAACATTAAAATGTTATACTCCCATTTCTTCCTATCCCCAATGTTGATGGATAACATCCCAAGAAACGGAAAGAAAGCAAGGTTTGGACATTGCCGCTACAAGATACTGGATTATTTAAACTGGAGGGTAGATGAATTCACGCAAAATACGGTTTACTCGTGGTTACTCGTCACGATGACTAGTAAACCTTATTTCAACTAGTGACAAGGGCAGAAACCTCTCTCAACATTATACAGCAGGATATCCTTCAAACAGAGGGATGAACATTCAAGACCAGCTCATAAAACCTAAAACAACCAAATGCAATTTGGGAGCACAAATAAAATTTAGTGAATTAAACACACATCCCCTACTTCTCCGGAGACTGTTCTAATATCTTTGCCTTGGTGCTTCTTATTAGCGGTTTCTGCAAACAGAACCTTAGGTTACAATAGTCCTTCACATCGTATCTAACAGGACTCTCCTCCTGTTCATTCATCCAGGCATATCTCAGGCCTGGATGGTATCAGAGACTCTTTAATATCTCCAAACTAATTTGCAATCATGTGCATTAACTTAAAAGACAATTAAAGGTGCATCTGCCTGGAGACAGTCCCTGATCTTAATTAGGGGCAGCTGGCTTGTTTTCCAGCTATTGCCCAGGAATTTTGTCTATTGAAGATGTTGTAAAGCATGCAAGGGGAAACAGGCGTGGGGGAGGGATGGGGCCCAAGCATTGAGGAGGGATGCTCAGGATAAGGCAGAATGATGGCTAAAAATCTCCCCGGTCGATCTATCTTTAAAGAAGTTGAATCGTGGCCAACTGGACCAAAATTTATTCAACGGAGACGTTTCGTCACTGAGTCAACTCACTTCTTCAGTCAAAATGAAAATTGGGTTAGGAAGACAGTCAGAGAGTCTCGTTGAAAGGGACTAACTCATGGCATAGCAACTGCAGGAGATTTCTCCACAAATTAAAATTGTTTGTGTGTGTGTGTGTGTGTGTGTGTGTGTGTGTGTGTGTGTGTTGTATTTGTGCTAATAAATAAATAAAGGGAGACTAGTATAGATCTATTTCAAGCTATTTAGCTCTCATCAGCTAGCNAGTTCGAATCTCGCCAGGCTCAAGGTTGACTCAGCCTTCCATCCTTCCAAGGTCAGTAAAATGAGGAATATGCTGACTCCATAAACCACTTAGAGAGGGCTGTAAATCACTGTAAAGTAGTATATATATTCCTTCCTTCCTTCCCTCCCTCCCTCCTTCCTTCCTTCCCTCCCTCCCTCCTTCTTTCCTTCCATCCATGGTGGTACAATGGTTAGAATGCAGTACTGCAGGCTAGTTCTGCTGACTGCCGGCTGTCTGCAGTTCGGCAGTTCGAATCTCAACAGGCTCAAGGTTGACTCAGCCTTCCATCCTTCTGAGGTGGGCAAAACGAGATGCAGATTGTTGGGGGCAATAGGCTGATTCTGTAAACTGCTTAGAGAGGATTGCAAAGCACTGTGAAGCTGTATATAAGTCTAAGTGCTATTGCTAAATGGGGGGGGGGTCTCTTCTGACACAGCAACCCTCTGCAAACTTTTCCTATCCTGATAAGTAATGTTAACATTTTTCAAATGGGGAATGTCTTCCTTGACTTCTATAAGGAGTTCTCACTTTGGTAGTTGGAACCAAATATAGTAGTTGGAGAATTGGAAAATACAATAGTTTTTTCGGTATAAATGAGAAGGTAAGTGATCAAATCAGTGTTTCTCAACCTCCATGGAAACGGTCCACCATTGTGATTGTGACTTTCTTCCTTACGCACCACAGATCAAGCGTTTAGAAACTCACATTCAGTTTCTGAAGTATCTCGTGCAGTGGCTTGTTTTTCCAGTCGCTGTGATTAATATCTGGCTGCTGTTCTAACTCAGTTGCGTTTGGCGTGCTGGTTTGCCTCTTGACTTTTGAATGTCTGGGAAGCTCCAGTTCTTCAAAACTCTTAAATTCCGGAGGCCTGCAGGAAAAAAAATATCGTGGAGCCTGAAAAATCTAACAGATGCTTTCACGATGTACCTTTCTAACACGATGCTGAACGAAGACAAATGATCTAGAAAGCCCATCGGAGGCGCGTGAAGCTATGGTTTTACTATCATTTCGGATATACGTACTCCTCTGTGTCACTGATTCTTAAGAAATCCAATTGTTCAACCACCGCTCCAGATATTAATGTCTGAAATACAGAAGAGGAATGGAAGATAAAAACAGCATTTAGTAGAAAACATGGGAAATCCATAGTTTGCTGTAATAATGCATAATAACACACTGCAAACTGCTTTTGAAAAGACAACCATGGAAGGATGGAGGGATGGATGGATGGAATGGTCAGCCAGGTAATAGAGAGAGAGAAACAGAGGGGAGAGGAAGGAAGAGAGTGGTCTCTCTCTCTGTGTGTGTCTCTCTCTGTCTCTCTCTGTCCCTCTCTGTCTTTCTGTCTCTGTCTCTCTGTCTCTGTCTCTCTCTCTCTCTGTCTCTCTGTGTCTCTCTCTCTCTGTCTCTCTGTCTCTCTCTGTCTCTGTCTCTCTGTCTCTGTCTCACTCTCTGTCTCTCTGTCTCTCTCTGTCTCTGTCTCTCTCTCTCTCTGTCTCTCTCTCTGTCTCTCTGTCTCTCTCTGTCTCTCTCTCTGTCTCTCTGTCTCTCTCTGTCTCTCTCTCTGTCTCTCTATCTGTCTCTCTCTCTC